AAAAATGCTTCTAAAAGCGGGATTTGCAACTGTCAAAGGGGACGATGCATTTGACGAAGAGGACGACATTCCTTTAAGTCAGTTATCTTCAATTTTAAAAATATACAGGGAAGTCCTCAGATTCAGCATCATCTGGATGTCGATTCCAGATGTCCCTACGGAAAATCCTCGTTTAGAGATGCAGGGAATAATCCAGGAATTTACAAACAACAAGGACAGACAGGACTCCACTCAAGCCGAAGAGGAAGAAGATGAAGGCCAAGACATTCTGTGTTCATCTATAAATAATATGAATGAAGTATGTGAAAAATTAAGAGACATTCAGAATTTTGGTATCCAAAAACAAAGACGAACTAGCGGTTGATATTGCCCATACTTTGATGAAATTTGAAAGTGAAATTACAAAAATCAAAATTAAAAATTTGTAAAGCAGACTACCATTAATCAGTTTTTCACCATATAAAATAAGGTTATCACTGTAACTTTTAAAGTCAATTGTACATATGTATATAAGAATACCTATGTGTAAAATACATATGTATAAATAAAAAAAAAATGTTTTTTCAAAAAAAATTTTTTTTTGCGTAATAAAGTTTTTTTGTAACAACTGAATTATTTTTTGTGCCAAAAATCTAAAACTGAAGATCATTTATTAACACTTATTGTGTGTTTGTACTACATGCCTGTACTCTTAATTTTAATTACTTTGCACGTTTCCAAAAATAAAGGCAATTTACATTGGTATCTGTATTTTATTGTTCCCAATAGTGGCCACTTCCCTTAACGGCCACATTCCTTTGAAAATTTTGTGGCCGCTATATGGGAGTTTTAATTGTATATTATTTTCACACTTTTATGCTTAGGCGCAAAAGTGCTTTACTTATGCCTGGGCGTTAAAATGACTTTTGTACTTATATTGTCAATTACGTCGCAAAAAATTAATACTTTTGTGATGTTTGAAAAAAAAAAAATTTTTTCTTTTAAATTTATATTATAATATACTGTGGATACAGACATAATATCAATTACCTTCTCGTGACATACCTGTCTATTAGCATTTCTGAATTTGCAAAACAAAACTAAACTTATAAGTACGATATTATTTTATCTAATCGTATCGTTTAAAAAATCTTAGGATAAATTATCCCAATCCGCCAGGATTCCTTTGCCTTGTTAACCTATAATGTCTGTTATAAATAAATAAATAAAAAAACGAGAAATTAACACATTTTTAGCATTTCTTTTTAAATTTTTTTTTTTTTTTTTGTTTTTTTTTCTGTACTTAAAAATAGTTAAAATGCAAACTGTTTTGTAAATTTTAGTTTTATATAAAAAAAAATACTATAAAAAGTTTATTTATATAAAAAAAAAATTATTAAAATTTATAGCCCGTCCCCAACTATGCCGAATCGACTCCACATTTTTCTTCTCACCTATCCTTAGTCCTACCCTGATGAAGATGTAAACGAAAACGTCGTATCCAATCCTCTCAGAGGTGGACTGTACAGTGTGTCCCATTTGGTTGAAATCATAGGGTATCTCCGTTGTTAATGAAGATAGAAGGGTGCGGTTTGCACAAACCTGTCCCACTTTTCGTCAAACGGAAGATGCTAGTAAACAAAAATTTCTATATTCTCTCTTCATTTCTGAACTACAGGGTCTTTTTCGGAAAATTTTGCAATTTGGGGACACCTCCTGTATCTCTGTTATAGTTAAAGGTATCGAGAAGGCGAAACTGCTTATTGTAGAACTTTTACGTAGAATACAGTGGCGTAGTCTGTTTTTCTACCAAAAAATATTTTGCAAAATATGAACTAAAGTTATGTTTTTAAATGGAACACCCTGTATATTTATAAATCATATGATCTGTCTTGCTATGAGCTTCTCAAAATATATATATCACCTATATTTATTTTCACTATTTTACCGACACATTTAAAATATATATCATTTTCTTATTAGTAGGCCGTGATAAATAACAAAAATCAAAATGGTATTTTACTAAAATAGTCATACACATATTAAAAATTTATTTGGGACTGATATATTTTACTTTTGAAATAACTGCTACCACTGAAACTGTGAATATATTTTTTTCTTTTTTTATAACGGGATGGGTTTGCAACTATCTAAATCTTGAATTATTAAAGCATTTTCAGGTGTTCGACATTGTTGTAGTGCCTACGATATATTTCATATTTCAAAAATACTCAAAATCAGAAATCGAGAACGGCGAAATCCGGGAATCGAGGAGGCTATCATATGCGTTCATTGGTTCAAATTCATTGATTTGAAAAATAATAATTTAACAGTATTCTAATATCATAGTTAAGTGAAGGGGAATGTTTCCCATCTTGTTGAAAGTATATTTCACGTAAATTAGCTTAAGGAATATCTAAAATTTCCGATACGATAAATTATTCTTATGTATACATGTATTCCAAGATTTACAAATAGCGGTGGTAGAGAGTTAAGTTTCGCTAATATATAAAGAATTTATTAGCGGTTCCCAAAATAAAACAAGAGACAGATAGCAGTATACTTTTAATAATTCTTTTTAGTTTCTTTTATTATCAATCATGGCCTACTAATAAATATGGTATTTTCCACAAAAACTTTAAATATTGCAGTAAATAGTCAAAATAAATATAGAGTGATATATATATTTTTGAGAAGCCTATGGCAAGACAGATCATATGATTTATAAATTATACAGGGTGTTCCATTTAAAAACATAACTTTAGATCATATTTTCAAAAATATTTTTTTTTGGTAGAAAACAGACTACGCCACTGTATTCTACGTAAAAGTTCCACAAAACAAATTCACTAAATAGCTTTAACAGAGATACAGGGAGAGTCCCAAATTGCAAAATCCTAAAGACCCGTAGCTCGGAAACGAAGAGGACTATGAAAAATTTTGTTTATTTGCATCTCCCGTTTGACAAAAAAAGGGACAGGTTTGTGCAAACCGCACCCTTCTATCTTCACTAATAACGGAGATACGTATGATTTTCAACCAAAATGGGACACCCTGCGTACACCGTCGCTCATATTTACCCATCAAATTTGGTCGCTATCGGACGACATCAAATTTTGACGTTTCTTACGTCAAAACTAAACTGTCACAGTGACACGCGTCGTACACGGCCAAGTTGGCCTTGGTCCAGTCTATCGACACACCAAATATCATTTAAATCGGAAGATTTTTTTGCCGTTGATGATGGGGTTTCATAGTGCTCGAAACATCGTCAAAATATCATGAGAAAATGGGTCTCTTCGAGCTAATATAATAAATTAAGGGTAATGTATTGTAGTTCAGTCATTGTCCGGAAGTTACTCTGCAGGTTTATACGTTTTGGGGTCCCTAACTAAAATCCATAAAATGCACATATCCAGACTTGCCGCCGGCGCCGCCATCTTGCCAAGATGGCGCCCAAAATCGGAATTTTGTAAATATCTCGAAAACTATGCGTTTTTCGCAAAAATTTGAGGAGAGTAAAATTAAAGAGAATAAAATTTTCTATGAAAAAGGTTCTATGAAAATTTTCGCTAGAGTCAACCGTTTAGGCACAAAATCCCTGGAGATTTTACAATTTTGCGGAAAATATGATATATTATGTATAGTCGATTTTCCGAAATCAAATGTCGATTAGGGTTCACTAAAACTAGTTTTAGTTTAGTTTCTTTAATTTTGTCATGAAACAGTGGCGTATCATTAATTCGGTCGTTCATTTATGAATAATTAATTTTAATTATTGAAAATGTGTACTTGTTTCCACACCACCCAAGAGGTAAAGTCATGGGGCGTTTATTTTAACGTGGTCTCCCCGGAGGCCTATTCCACTAGATAAATTAAAAACTTTAACTTATCTGCACAAGCCCGACGGACCTGGCTCTTTGATGTAAAGTCGATCGTGTCTGCTGTGCTGGGCTCTTCAGGGTAGTCTCTCAATTCGTCCAACTCTTCATCTTCAGACGCCAGAGGGATAACTACAGGCAAGCCCAACTCCTCTTCATCGGATTCGTCAAGTGACACTTCAGTGACGTTGTCACAGGATTTCCCATTGCACTATGCACAAATCATTGATCATTTTAATCCTGCTTTTCTGCATCCGCAGGATTTACCACAGTTGTTGGTTTTGCATTTACAGGATAAAAATGCTAATAGGGATTTCGGAGCTGGATCTGTCAACGTTGTGACTGGAGTAATGCCTGTTTTTGTTTTCTTCCAACCCCGTTCTTCGGCATCTTTGGTACAACCAGACCAATGCTGAACCTGGTGGTAAGTTCGCAATGAATGCTGTCCAGCACGACAATTAATTAAGAATTAATGATATGCCACTGTTTTATGACAAAATTGAAGAAACTAAACTAAAACTAGTTTTAGTAAACCCTAATCGACATTTGGTTTCGGAAAATCGCCTATACATAATATATCATACTTTAAGCAAAATTGTAAAATTTCCAGGGACTTTGCGCCTAAACGGTTGACTTTCGCGAAAATTTCCATAGAACCTTTTTTATAGGAAATTTCATTCTCTTTAATTTTTCTCTCTTCAAGTTTTTACGAAAAACGCATAGTTTTCGAGATATTTACAAAATACCGATTTTGGGCGCCATCTTTGCAAGGTGGCGGCGCCGGCGGCAAGTCTGGAGATGTGCATTTTATGGATTTTAGTTAGGGACCCCAAAACCTATAAACCTGCAAAGTTTCAAAACTTCCGGACTTTTTTCCAAGAAGGCCCCTTTTTTGATCCCCAATGACTGAACTATTGGGAGAGTGAATTAGCTGTTTAAACGCGAACACTCTCTTTATGACATACCATAATAATATTATAATTTTGTAACTAAACGTCAAATTGAAAGTTATTTAATGATAAACTCCCTTTGTTTTATAAAAAAGAATGACCATTATTTATGACTGTATATTTTTGTTTCAATCAATTAACTGTAAATCTCATTATTATTGCTAGTGAAGAATAAATTCTGTGTTTTTAGGCTGCAATAAACATGGCTACAAAATCCCTAAGCATCGACTTGAAAAGTCAAGGCGTGTTGGTGACCTGCATTCACCCGGGATGGGTGAAAACAGACATGGGTGGCAATAACGCACCACTTTCTGTAGATACGAGCTGTTCTGGAATTGTAAAGGTTATAAAAGAGCTGAACGAAAAACATAATGGAGGATTTGTCCAATGGGATGGAAAGGAACTACCGTGGTAAATGGAGATGTTGAATTTACTGTTATCAAATAACGTCCATCAACATAACAAGCCCAAAGCCGCGGAACTTTAGATTAAATATATCGGAAGATACAGCACATGTGTCCACATAATAAATAAATAAAAAACAATTTTTTACAGAGAATCGCTTTGAAGAAAACGTTGATTCAGAGAACATTGACATTATTCGTATCAGCACTATGACCAATAGGGTAGTATTCTGCAATAAACAAATAATGTTTCTTATGTATATTTTGCGTAACCAAATAATGCTGTATCAAGATGCTTCCATTCGGTTCAAGATGTATGTATCTTTTTATATATCAAATATGCTGTATCTTACAGGGTCTTGTGCAGAACAGGTCCCCACGAAATCGTGGTTTTTTTAATTTTTAATGTGGATCCCATAGTTAATGGAATGGTTTAAAAGAAAAAAATTGTTGGATGAACCACTTTTTCTACGAAAAAAAATAATTGAAAATTCCAAATTTTCACTACATTTCAATGCGAAAACTCCCTATTATAACCTTCATAAAGACAGTAAAATACAAGGTTATGCACCGTGTTGCCATACTCACCCTGTGTAAAATCGACGAAAACGTTCTACTTTATATTCATTTTTTTTACATTTAGTACGCACTTTAAGAACACGAAAAATTAAAAATATAATAAACGAGGCAAAAACAAAAACACTATAAAAATAAATTGACAATAAAATCATTACACAGTATTTAGCACAATTGTTTAAAAATATATTTTTCCCGGATTTGTTCAGTAAGATTCCGAAATCGATGTGATCTGCGTACTTCCAAACACTCCCCCACCAACCTAACCTAACCAATGCATTAACACCCCAAATAACCAGGCTAACCAATGCATTAACACCCTCCAAATCACTAGATTAGGCTAACCAATGCATTAACACCCTCCAAATAATCAGGCTAACCAATGCATTACCACCCTCCAAATAACCAGCCTATCTAACCTAACTAACCTAACCAATGCATTAATACCCCCAAATAACCAGGCTAACCAATGCATTAACACCCTCCAAATAACCATGCTAACCAATGCATTACCACCCTCCAAATAACCAGGCTAACCAATGCATTAACACCCCCAAATAACCAGGCTAACCAATGCATTAACACCCTCCAAATAACCAGGCTAACCAATGCATTACCACCCTCCAAATAACCAGGCTAACCATTGCATTAACACCCTCCAAATAACCAGGCTAACCAATGCATTACCACCTTCCAAATAACCAGGCTAACCTAATTGAGCCTAATGACAAAACTTCATTGATTACGCGTCGAAAAACAGTATATATTAAAAAAACTTATATTTTCGTAGAACCTGAAAAATCCGCAAATTTTATTTCAGAAATTGCTTTAAAATAATCCACACTAACGAATAAGCTACTAGACAGTTCAATTTTTGTTGCACTAAAGTGATAACTTACCGTTTTAAGTCCCTCCACAACAACTTTATTTCAGAAGAAAATCATATAAAGTAATTTTATTGACAACGTCGCAAATTCTATGCGAAGGCCATAGATGACATACCGATGATCGATTAACTGTCAATCGAAAAAGTCATAAAATTGCTAGCTTGAGCTGATGTAAATAAATATATTTTCTTAATTTTTATGCTTACAAAGAAGATTCGTTACATTTTTGTGCTTAAATTAGATCATTCCACGTCTATATAAGGTAATAAAGTACTAATATGTGATGTTTTTACTGAATCCGTGTAGAAAATTTAACATATTTACTGTCCGTCGCCTGTACCTAAAATACGTTTTTTTGCCGCTTTTTAAAGATAAAACACATTCATCCAACAATTTTTATGCTTAAAAATATTCAGTTTAAGATAATCTTGCAAAAAAATCCCAAAAAAGTGTTAAATGCGTGGGGACCTATTGTGCACCAGAGCCTATCTTACATGTTAAATATCATTATAATTTTGTTTTGTTTTTATATCTTAAAAAATGTTGTTGATAAACTCTACTTGTTATACAATGTTGTTAAAACTTAAGTATAAATTTAAATTAAGCTAATTGTTAATATTAATTAATTTTATTCTGTTTAATTTGAATTAAAATGATTAGAACTCTGTGACAGCAGTTATCTTGTGCATTTCATATTATTAAGTACTAGTATATTGTTTTATTAGGAGTAAAAATGACACTTTTCGCGGCGAAGCTGTACGTTTGACATACTGGCAATGCACAAAGAGTCATTTTTACTCCGAATAGAACATGTTATTTTTTTCAAACGCCACAAATAATTTTTTAAATAATTTCAAACGGTCCAAATAATATAAAAAGATTTCAAAGTCACACCTTGTAAGTAATTATACATGGTGTTCCAGAAATAAGTGCAACTATTTTAACTGCAACCCCAGAAACATGCCTAGTTTTTAGTTAAAGAACATAATTTCTTCATAATATGGCAACATAGGTAGTAGATTAAATTTACAAGAAAGAACATCCAGAAAAGATCCAGTGGTTCTGAAAATTTTAACCAAACCAAACCAAAAAATACTTTTTTTGGAAATTTTCAAAGTAAAGACTTATTTGAAAAACGATAAAGAGAAAATATGTTTATTTTCTCGAGATCTACCATCCCTTAAAATACTTGCACTTATTTATGGGACACCCTGTATATCGAGAAACTATGGTCACGCTCGTTGAATTTGACACTTTATGTCAGTGGAATAATATATTTTCGTACTTTTATGCTTAAGCGTAAAAGTGCTCTACTTTTATACCTAGGCATTAAAATTACTTTTTTATGTTGTTAATCACGTCGCGAAAATTAATTGTTTTGTAACGTTTGAAAAAAATATTATTAGCAACAGATATATTTACAAATTATAATTTACATACGTATCATTTTATGAAATGAAAATTGTATCTATTGTTTAGATAGTTATATTCATTGACTAGGAAAAAAAAGATAAATAATTTGACTATTTTGAAATTTGAAAAACTCGTTTAAATATTGAAAAGTAACACTATGAAATAATTGAAAACTTTTCTGCAGTGAACAAATTTTGAACTTGTTAAGTTAGGTACAAACGCAATAGTAATAGAAACAATTTTTTTTGAAATAAATACAGTAAATTTCCTTAAAGAAAATCCATTTCTGCAGACTTTATAGATAACAGTTTATGTATTGTATATGTCCTGTAAATTATTGTGACATAGTTTATATTACTATATGCGTAATTATGTAGTATTTTTATATAGTTAGTATACTAATAGTTTATTATAATATCGAATTCCCATGTTTTCATATCATTTATTTAAATGATTAATAAAATCTGGCGAATTTAATCTTTTAAAATTATTTAATTAGGTTAATAATTATATTGTATTTGATAAATGTTCGGAAGTGTGGGACTACTGAGATTTTAGAAAACTGATGATATCACTATTTACATTGTCTCGATTTTTATATAATATATCGCACGAATATTTGCTGTTACCTTTTTATGTAGTACTAGAACTTAGTAAATAGGATTTAATTTTGTGTGACATTTTCTTTTTGTCTAGGTGTTTTCTATCTCGCATCTTAACTTCCTTTAGAAACAACTTAAAATCGTGCTACTAAAAATATTATCGGGATTTTACTGTTAATTATCTACTGTTATTAACTTTCTTGCAATACATTATGTAAAAGTAATGACTGTTTTAAAATACATATTAATTTTCGTACTTCTATTGACGCTGGCTGCTGTTAAAAGTTTTTCCTGCATATGCTTCCTATATATATCAAAAGCCCGTTGAATATTACTTGCAACAGTGTTTGCTTCTAATTTCGTTGGACAGTTTGCGAGGCTAAAATGAATAAAACATCACACATCCAGAGGCGTATCTATTTATTAAAGGACAATACTTGCACACAGATGGTATCTATAGATAGTTTCATGAAACGATTTAATATACAATTTTGTATACAGGGTCCGAAAATAGTGCGTCGGGCATTTGTAGCCCCTAGAATAAAAAAACTTGGAAATTTTGTTAAAGTGCAAACGTAAATACCAAAATCTTTGGCTGGCTTTAATAAAAATTTACTGTGGAAAATATCTACGAAACCGTTAAACATTTTGAAGTACTCTAAATACAAAATATGTTCGTCTTTAAATTATTCATTTATTTAAAAAAAAGAATATACAGGGTGTTCCATTTAAAAAAGATTAACCCGCATACAGCACATCAAATCACATTTACGATGTGTTTACATTATTAGACGTAGACACAGGGTGACACAATTCCCCCGATGTAAATATGCTACGTTTACACATTGTAGTTCAACACGTATGCTCAAAGGTTAAACGTCCGCCTCACACAATGTAGCCACAGTATAACAATTACGTATACACACAGTAAGGGATACACAGTGCTTGTGTATTACGTTTAAACTCTGTTTACACATTGCAGTTGTGACTACCGCGTGTATACCTATGTATTTTGCTTCGTATATACATCTTGTGCTAGATAAAACTACTTCTTATGAACGAATTTAGGAAATAATACAAGTTTTGATGCCTAACTTTTCGTTCTTTTTAAGAAATATTTATTCAATGACACCAATTATATATTTTTAGAACGAAAATTAGGAAGGCAAAACTTTGTATTTTCCAAAAGTATCTCGATCGTAAGTTCAAGAGGGGTAGCCTTAAAATTGTTCGATTTTTGTTTTATATTAAATGTACCACTTTGATTCCATAAAATGGATTAAGTGGTTAAAAAATAAAATTCCTATATTTATATCATGAAACGCAATATCGCACATAACACAATGATAATAATTATTTACACTGCAGTAACCAGAAGTAAGAAAACGCTGTAAAAGAACAGAATTTGTATAAAATGCATTAAAAATATAAGTACCTAGTATAACAACATACTAAAATAGTAAACACTGGTATATCGCCACGATTTGGTGGACCTCGTTTAGTTATTTTTTTCTCCTCTTTTCCCTCTAAGCAGTTGGTTTGTTAGCATACTCATTTAACGAGCACTCTGTTGGACTTTGTTGTATTTTATTTCCAGATTAACAATCTCACCCTTAAATTTTATATGAAACTGATTATTGAATATTAAACATATCTGTATATTGATCCATCAATAAACCAAATATCAGTGTAAGAAGTTCTTTGAAGTGTTTAAATCTTTCTTTCTCTGGTCCATTTAGATTTTTATTATTTCCAAATTAAAAAAAATTATATTGCAGAGCTGACCTCTTTATCATTATACGAGAATATTTGGAGTTTTCATTCATTGGAGTCAAAATTTGGTAAATTGGGTATCGAGTAAGGGAAGAGTCGCTGCTATAATATTAATAATACTCTTAGGAAGGTATAACAAGGTAATTAAAAACTTGTGCTTACCTTAAAATCTCTTTTAAACTACACACAAACAGAACATTTATATAGAGCTTCCGAATGATAAAACAATAATGGCTGCTAACACATACAACTCCTAGAAAGGAGAAAGAAGAGAGGACACATAAGATACATTTGGTCGGTGTATCTACGCTGAGGTTATCCGCGCATGCGCATACCTTCATTTCATGCCTTCATAGAATGTAGACACAACAGTACACTATTACAAAGTGTCTATATAGATATTTATATTATGTGTATATGTCACATTTTTACAAGGTGTGTACTATAGGCACAACTATGATACGAAGTATCACATATACATATGACTTATACATTGTATGGCTCATATACCGACGTCAGATTTCATCATTTTAATAATTATTTGTTAAGTTACAAAAAGCTCTTTAGAATTTTGAGTGCATACGGTATACGACTAGTAAACACTGTATCACACAATTCTAGCAATATAAACCTGCGTGTATCTCATATGTATATGTTAGAACTAGATGAACACTTAGGTTCACTTTAACATATTTTGTTCCTCATGTGTCTCCCTTGTAGAAACGTAATTTCATTTGGACGTGCTGTATGGGGATCCACTTACACTGTTTTGAGCCACCCTGTAGAAGTTAAAATATGATCCTGAAATACATCCTAGTACATACTTTACGTTTGCACTAAAAACAAAATTTCCAAATTTTTTATTCTAAGAGCTACAGGTGCTTGACGCACTATTGCCGGACCCTGTATATGATCACCGCCATATATTGAACACCCACGAGTATTTAACCAACATGTGAATAACAAATGTTTTTCTATAATTTCACAGAAAATGAATTTACAAAATCACATTCTCCAATTTATAAAAAATATAAAAAACAATCAATTGTTTCCAAATAATCGCATCATATTATTTTCTTCTTCACATCCGAACCAAATAGGACCAATAGGGAAGGGAGATGTTTCAGTAGCGATAATCCAGTCGTTGTCAAACTTCCAGAAGAGTTCGTTTTTGAAAAAATACGTGTTTCCTTTGAAAAAGAAATATTTAGCTTGGTACAACAAATATTAATACCTTTTTAAGCTAGTAGTTACCGTCTTTCCATGTTGTTGCTGCATCTAAATTTTGCGGAACACCACGCCATCTCTCCATGTGCATCGGATAACCTTCATCCATTGTTTTGGTTAATTCGTTGTATCTCCAGAATCGATCGTTTTTGTAAAAATATGTTTTGCCTAAAACAATGAACAGTATGATGTTGTCATGAGATCCTAATGAATTAATTCAACTTCAAAAAATTACTCTATCTTCCAATTATTTTATGGAATTTAATTATTATTATTATAATGATATAATTAATTATGAAATAATAATATATGAAATAATACCTCGAGTATCTGCGAAGCCGTTAAAAATTTTTAAATACCTACTCTAAATACAAAAAATGTCCATTTTTTAATTCTCCATCTTTTAAAAGAATAATATACAAAATGTTTCATTTAAAATAAGGAAGAGAAAAACTTTCATATTTTAGAAAGTTTGGTGTAGAATTTTGAACACCCTGTATGATTTAAGATTACGATATTTATAGCAAAGTAAGTACAGAACAGAATCTAAAATAACACTTAATATAGTTTTGATTTCAGGACAGTTCTTGTATTTTTAATATTTTTTTTTAAAAAAGGCTGAAAACACATTTTTTTTATTTATTTATTAATATCTCTGAAACTATTAAAAAGGATGCCCGACGCACTATGTTGCCGGACCCTGTATAGTAATCGCACTGAAAAATACACGAGATGTATGAAATAGGAAAAATTCACCTAGTAAAAAAAGAATGGGATTATTTCGTTCCTTATTCGAACATACTGGAGTACTTATAATATAAATTAAGCATTGGGCACTAGAAAAAAGTAGTACCACAGCCTATTCATAGCCAGCTTGTCGACTTACAATGATTTGCATGGAAATCGGCGTATGTACTATGTTACAAGTCGGGTTCTCAGTTCTATTGAAACTATGTTTAAAAAAAAACATGTTGACTATGCTTTGACTGGTATTTGGACGAGTATATAGCCTGTCCAACGACAAGATCATTGACAGTGATAGATGTGTCACATATTTTACAAAGAAATAAGTTGGTACAACTGGAACGCATAGCAGGAAATTAATATATATATATATATATATATATATATATATATATATATATATATATATATATATATATATATATATATATATATATATATATATATATATATAAAATTTGACTGATAAGTGATTACTTCAAAATATTGTGAAAAAAAAACTGTATAAAACTGAAAAAATGTAATCGAAGACTTTCTGCCTGGGCAGCGAGCATTAACTATGAACTGTGCTCTGGGTCTACAGTTAATTTTCCCTGGATTTTTCCTCCACTTGACTTCAAAAGACACAAAACACACGTAATAACACGAATCAAAATGCATCATCTTCCAAAACGCAGATATTTGACATAAGTTGACACAAAATTATAACCTATAATTTGGCAAGACTATGACTTAAGAATCTAAAGGCGAGTTTATACGCATCGGCGTCCGTTTGTCGTTCATCGTTCCGTCAAACCAATAAAATTGAAATATGGTCTGTCATTTTTGAAATAAACCAATAAAACTGGTTAAAAACAAGAGACGACGCATGACGAATATATATTTAAACCCATCCATAGTTAACTTAAAAAATATTAGAAACTTTTTTTAGTAAAATAGATTGGTACAGGCGCTGTAGGTGAAACGCATCACATACTAAAAAAAGGCGAAGATCCTTAGCTGGTAGTGAATAAGCTGTGACAATACTGCACGGTACAATACTCAGAAAACTCGTAAGTTAAAAAAGGCTTAGATATAATTATTTCTAAACTCTACATTACATACCATTTTTGGCCCATAACTGAACAGCATCGATACTGTCGAGGTAATCAGGAAGACCGTAATTTGATAATGGTAAAGGACTGTTTTCAATAAATCTGGAACCGTCAGATACCCAGTACTGGTTTCCAGTAAACAGCACTATACTGCCATCGGTTCTTTGATATGCTGCATCGATTTTCTTTATATCTTCTGGTAACTCTGGAAACATTTCTCGGGTTTTTGTGGGGTACCCTGGCTCGAGACGTCTCATATCTCTGAATCGCCACAAATACTAAAATAGGTTAATTTTAGTAAATAAAATATGCAATTTCAAATAGTACTGGTCTGTAAACTTATAATCACTCGTTTTGTTTTTTTCTAGGTATTTTCATCAATATAAATTTCCTATTACTGAAACATCTAGACCTTTAATTGTTTGAATTAAAGAATATAAAGGATAGTTAAAGAAGGGTGATTTTCTCGCACAGCTTATTGATTCAGCATTAGTAGAATGATACTGATAATATTATTTTATAGAACTGATACTGATAATATTACTTTGTTGTTGACTCGCCCTGTACAAGCGCTGTATATATCGAAGGGACAAATATATTAGCTGTATTAAGGAAATTAGTAAATATATTATTTCCTTATTAGTGAACCGAAATAGATAAATCAATATTCAGTTAGTTATTAATATTATTAACAGATTAAACTAATCAGTACGTATCTATATCTAGTCTACCACCTTATTAATCAATATCTATTATTAAAAATTACTTAATAATACTGTACCTCGTCTTTAAATACAAACAGCTCTCCTCTTAAGGTCGCCACAGCATCCAGGTATCCGTTACAAATATACGGAAGGCTTGGTGAGTTATCCTTGGGTATATGATGGGTTGGATCGTGTTCCTTATGCTCATCCACCGATTCTGAGTCTCCATGATACGAAACTGTCACTTCTTTTGATGTTTCTGTCGTCCAATAAGGCGATTCGGTGGTGGTTGGATGTCTTGGATGATGCCAATCGTGTCTTCGAGTTGTACCCGTTATCCACCATGGAGTTTGAGTTGTAGTTTGGTATGGGTAACGTCTTGTGGTGGTTCTTTCTGTTACTGGTTCACGATCAGGTATGTCATTGCTGGGAATACCGCTATCAGGTATACTTCGAGCGACTAAAAATTAATTTATTATACAGGGTTGTTCACCACATACGACACGGAGTACTGTTGTAGCAAAACGATTAAATTTTTGCAAGTTTAAAGTTTTGGGTTCGTTGAAGGGCTATTAGAGCTACAATTTAAAAATATTTTTACAAAATACGAGTGTCCCAAATAAATAAAAAAATATAAAAGTTAAGGTTTACCGCATTTTGTCGCAAAAATGTCAATATATTCCATGGGTACATTGATAAATGACGTCTAAATTATAAGAAAATGCATGTTCTACGAACACTTAAAGAGATAAGTAAAAAATGGTATATCACAATTTGATAGACAATTAAATTGTACATCTCATTCTCCTAAAATATACAGGGTGTCCCATTTAAATTAAATAAGTTGCCGTTTAAAGCTAGAAATTATTTAAAATAATTTTTTAGACACTCTGTATGAGGTAGTATTATTTTCATTATTGCAACACAATAACTGATCAATAAATAAACTTCAGTAAATATTTAGTATTAAAAACTTTGATACCCTTGGAGAAACGAAGCTTTTTACTGCAATTTCACAAAATTGAAAATATTTCAAAAACGGTAAGGTTTAAGTGTGATAAACCTTAATCAAATTTACCTTTATTTCAATCGTAGAATCTAAAAATAAAATAATATACAGGGTGTTACATTTAAAAAAACAACAAACAACTATAATATTTCTTACTTATCTTGTAAAAATATTTTTAAATTGTAGCTCTAATAGTCCTTCAACGAACCTAGACTTACAATTTGTAAAAATCTAATCGTTTAGCTACAATACTTCGTGTGGTATGTGGTGAACAATCCTGTATAATATTTAGTTAAAATAGTTAAAAAGAGCTTACTGTATAATTGGTACATTCCTATTATGTCATCGTAGTCTAAATACGTCTGTGCTCCAGGTTCGTAGCCTTTATAGTACGGAAACATTACAGAAGTAGGTACTGTAGAATGGGCCAGTCCTAACGAATGGCCTAGTTCGTGTAATGCTACTGTGAAAAAATCAGTACCTTCCGGGTTGCCTACGTTGTTGGCCCTGTCAGCCCAGTCTTCATCGTTGTCAAAATGTATATCTCCATCAATGCCGACTTCTTCGTATCTGTATGGAAAGAAGGCATGTGCCAATACTAAACCAGGACCATCAAATGGGTAGCTGAAAAGAAATTTGGATTATAAGGAAAAAATACTGATGTTTGGCTTGGAGCTTTCATTTTCTAAAATGTTTATTTTATCACATTATCAAATGGAGACTATAGTTTTTATTATATATAAAACAAACGTTGATATAATAACATTATATCAACGTTTGTACAATAATTTATAAATTAATTAATTTGTATATCAATGTTTGATATAATAACATTATATCAACGTTTGTACAGGTAGCGATGATAAACCAGTTTCCCTTGAACTTTTGGCACAAAAACATTTCAAATTTACGATTTCAGTATAATAACTACCGTATGATCGAAAAAAATTGGCGTCCAGTTGGCTTGGAAATGACGGTCGATGACATTTCCCATATAATTTTACATATAAAATGACAGCGATCTTCATTTCATAGCCATCGCTGACGCCGTTTTTATTCGATCATACGGTATTTAGTCAACATATTTAATTTATGTCAATGATGACAGTTACTGATAATTTCGATTCCAAATATTTCGAGAAACATTACTCGTACTGATTTTTACCAAGACACTTTTTTTACGTAAAAAAACGTCGGAAACGTATATTTTTTTACTCAGTAGTTTTATACAGGTACGGAAGAAAAGTTATTACTCTTCAAGCCAGTTAAAAAACGTGTAGGTGGCGCCCTCTACATGTAGGAGTCATATTGACAGCAGAATAAAATTTCTCATACTAAAAAAACTCTCAGATACCAATTTTCTTCCAAATATTGACGTTACTTCATAAATAATTATTTGGTAAATATGGAAATAAAAATGAAATTTCTACAATACCCTGTATCTCCGAAACTAAGCATTTTAGGACATACATTTATAGGAACTTTTTTACTTATTTTTATCTGCAGAATATGCTGCCGATGTCTCCGGAATATAGTTCGGACAACCCTGTATAATTATTTTAATATACTTACAAATAAAGTTTACCAACTAGATTTTATGCGCCTACCTAGCTTGATGTGCCAAGAAATGCTAGTTTTTTCTCAAAGAATATGCACGGTGGCGTTTTTTTAACAAGAACATAAATTATTTTGCAGATTCCAAAAATACGTAGTAGTTCTATGTCTGCGAAATATTGGACCCAGTATAGTATAATGAAAAAAAAAAAAAATAAAAAGTTGCTGTCATTTTTGTAGTAATTGAGTGAATGCCATGGATCATGACATGATTAATTTTAACTCGCTTTTTTTAAATCAAAATATTCTGTTAATACGCATTCCAGGCAATTGAAAATCTAACTGTAGTCGTCAGAATCCATCTTTCTCTGACTATTTGAAGAGAGAAAAACAAAAGAAAATAGAGTTGTATCAGTTAAACCTGTCTCCGTGATAACCAGATGCAAACGATACTATAATGTCTGCATACTGACTATTACTTCTCGTGAAAGTTAATCTGCCATACGATCCCCAAATATCTAAGGCTTTTTGTATATTGCTTGCTACAGTGTCTTCATTTAGTTTTGATGACCAATTTGATATGCTAAAATTAACAAGTTAATGTAATTTTGGGTTAGTATTTTTTGTTTGGTCTGTTGCTTACTAATAAGTTAAATTTCTTTTGTTCCATCCTTTAGTGGTGACGTATCTTTTTGTACGACCGCCAGAAACGATATCTTCAACTCCACACTGCTTTGATGATATTAGCAAAACAGATTAATAAAGTTTTTGATAGTTCAATGGTAAGACAATGATGAATTGTAAAATAATAGTATATTACATATCGAGGAGGAAGTGTTTCATTACTGTCGAGAGATTAGCTAAATCTCGAGACAATAATAAAAACTTTCCTCGAGGTTTTATATACTATTTTTATTTTACAACCATCATTAATTAAAAAATAGGGACAGTATTTTGTTTGAAAAAAAAAAAATAGGTATGCGAAAATTTGTCGTTTTTTCTGTTTTGGCATTTCCATATCTATAAGGTTCGTTCCAACCCGCGTAAGAAACGGTTTCTTACAGGAGTTTGCGCAGAAGTTGAAAAGCGTTACAACCGGATTTACTGTCGGTTAGTAAATCATTTGTTTTCTGTTCCAACTTAAATTGAAAACTGTTTGAAAACTGTCAGAACGGTTTGCAAAACTTTCTCCCTATCATTTATCAAACGCATGCGTATTAGAATTCACTTCTCTTAAAATGCATAACCAATAAAAAACCCAGCAAATTTGATTATACTCGTATCTGTTTGAATAATTTAAACATGCTGTTCAACTAATTAAAGACTTGTAAACAGATATCATAATTAAATCGCAATGAGTGACGAAGAGTATAGTAGTGAGATTAGTGACGTGTCGTTCATGGAAAGTAGTGATGAGGAGGATTTAGAATTACTACTAGATGAGCACAAATTAATAATCAAAATTGATCAAAATCGACATTTTTGCACATAAATTTATCTAATATCTTATTGTTAATATTTTCAAGAGGAAACTGTGCTCAAGATTGAGTGGTACCAATTCCAATTTAATAGCCAGGTTGGCCAATATGGCAATATTCCTGCTTTGCATCAAGTAAAATAATCATTTGCTGAAATTGGTATTTTCTTTAAGGGAACAACTTAATTTCAGGTTCTCATCTATTGTGGTATACGGGACACCAGACTACAAGTTTTCGAGATGTTGCCGATAGATTTAATGTGAAAATTAGTTCAATAAATAGGATTATTTATCGAGTTTCTATGTTTTTTAAGTAATTTGAATTTGTCACCGGAAATATTAAAATGTGTCAGGTGTTCCAACCGTAGTTTCAAATTGGTTAGAAAACAATTTATTTTACAGACATGCGCATTGGACAAGATTTGCAAATTGTTTCAAATCTGTTTATGATTCATGGTTGGAACGAACCTATAGTTACCGGTACCAGTGGTTGTTATGGCGCAAACCTTCAACATATAGAGTGTAGAGGTAAGGAGAAACAACTCTTACGGAACTTTTATTGAAAAAGTGGTCACAAAATGGAAAGAATAAGGGTACATAAATGACCACAGTGGCGCTAAAAACGCATGAATCTAAAAAATGAAAAGTAACCATAGATAAGAGAATAAAAATAAATATAACCAAACATTACCCAAAAAGTTTTGTTTTTATTAACGTTTTTGAATATAAAATAATTATTGTTTATCAATATTTTGTACTTTATTTATTATTTAATAATGGTTAAAGTGTGTGTGGTGCGAAGTTGATTGAATAGCTGATGGAAAAATAGAGAGCAGGGAAAAGAAGAAGAATACAAAAGTGCCGCTGTTCTGAGAACGGGCCTTTTTCTTACTTATTGTCTTCAAACATTTCAGTCAAAATGTACAATGTCATATGACTACATCAAAAAATTTGTAGCACACATAAACGAAACAAGTTTAGACTGGAAAGTAACCATCCTTAGGAAATTTTTGCTATTTTTTTACGGGGAAATTTGTAATACACAAAGAATTTACTTTCAAGAAATTTATTATACAGAAAGGCATGCATCAAATTTTGTACACTTTATTAGTGAATAATGATCCAGGCACAGATAAATTCTTTGTGAATAATATTTATTAAAATTAACTTAACTTTAAATTACATTTGAAATCCTATTCTACATTATGTACATGCTTAGTTTTATACTCAAAACATCATCGGTGTAATATTATGTAACCTCAAAAATAAGCAAGAATAAGTTTTTGAAGAGAGAATAGAATAACAACATTATTTACTATAAAAATTACTAACAAAAAAAAAATTTTAAATATCTATAATAAATTAAATAACTTAAATTGCTCACCTGAGATAATTGTTTTTAAAGACAATATCATATGTCTAGCATTTTATTTTTGAAAAACATATAATTGTTGATTAGGATATATATGTAATAATAAATATTATTTTTTATGCTTAATAAATTAAAACTCAAATATTTAAAAAAGTTTAAAAAGTTTTTTTTTCTTTTTTCATATATTTTTGATTCAAATTTAAGTTATTAAACTTTAATTTTTTTTTAAATTTTAACACAAAAGTAGGGACTCTGGTTTCATCGCTGATATATTCAGCTGTTCATATGTACACATGTTAAGTAATCCTGGACATTATTATTTAATTAAAAAAAAAAAATCAGCCCTTAAGAACTCCTAAATCGATTACAATATATTAATGCTATACCACTAACTCAGTCTTACAATCACGACAAATATTATTCGCATCTCTGTCCAAAATAAATAGAAATGTAAATAATAAAGCAATAATAACTGTATAGAACCTGAGGTTAATCTGAAATTTGTTGAAATATTCAGTTATAACTCAGATTGCATCCCGTTTAAAGTTATTAACTGTCAATATTTTTAATGTGTATATTGGCAAATTAGTTCATTTTTAAGATGCTTGGAGTAGTAATTTTATTAGAATCTTTAAAGTAAAAAAAAAAAAAAAAAAAAAAAAACAAAGTTAAAAATATACTATAGAATCAAATTAGAATCTTCTAGAATTAAAAAATTACAACTTATGTAAGGCCATATACTTAAAATTATATAGTGTAAAATATCTCAAAATGTAAAAAAGTTTTTTTTTTAAAAAAACAATAAAAATTTTTAAAATACGAAGATGCAGTCGTTTAAAAGTCGAATTTCTAAAAAAAATAACGTTTAAAAAAGAACGTATTTGCGAATAATGTATTCAGCCAGTAGATATTTCATAATTAAGAACGTATTTATAACAAAAAAGTTCCCTAAACTTAAAAATACGTGTATCGAAATTAATCGACGTTATCCTGAAATATTAGTCTGATATATCCAGGGGATCCTGAAAGTGGACAAGCACAAAACGGACAAACTGACTGGAATCCGTTTGTGCCATGAGGAATTACGACATTAGCCCAGTATCTAAAAAAGAAATCGCAAATATAGTCTTGAGAATTATTTAAGGAAATTAAACATTTTACAAAAAAATTAAAATAGAAATTAAAATGATTTCAGTCTTAGTGTGGTTTTATATGCATCCATCTTGCGTCGTTTCCCCGATTCAATCACATTCAAGTTCTTTCTGTAAAGCCCCGTCTACACTTAACGTTTTACCCGTCAGTCTTACCTGTTCAGTTAAAACGTATCAAGTAAAACGGGCCACACATACGATTTATCATACTGCAGGTTGTACAGGGTGGGTGAAATTCGACGCTTTTAAATGGAAACACCCTTTTCTATAGCAGATAGACGAAAACTAATATCGGTGTCTGGAGCTCAATTTTCATCAAAAACATGATGGTGAAAACCCCACATCAATATCTGTTACCGTTTCGAAGTTACGGGTGTTTTTTCAAAAATGTGTATTTTTTAACAAATCGCTGTAACTTTTTTGCTATGGAAAATTTTGTATCACTATGAAAAACATTTCCAAAGCAACCTTTTACGTAGAATTTAATGGTATAATATAATTTTTTTTTTAAATTAATAATTTAAAGAAGAGTTTTCACAAAAAATTGATTTTTTATTTGGGAGACCCTCTATATTTTAATTAACCGAAAAAGAATTTTAAAATTACCGTTACAAAAAATATAGCCACCCCACTTGATATTTTGTTATATTCCCCTTCAATATACTATTGACCCGATATGATGATATGCCCTTAATGGAACCGGAAAACATATTTTTCCAAGCAAGAAGAGGCGGCGCCTCTGAACGCTGAAGTTATCAGCAAATTTTTTTTTTTTTTTTTTTTAGAATATTTAAATAGCTAACCAAGATCCCAATCGTTGGCCGTCGAGGCAACCCTGACTTAGTGCCCATAGATCTAAATCCTAATGGATATATTTGAGGAAGAATAAAGGTTCCTTATTATCCTTCCGTATAATCTAGAAAAGAATTAGAAATACTTAGGCAGTTATGAGAGGGTATCTTTCATTCCCACTGAGTTAATGAATTCCTCGAGAAATGTTCAGAAACGGCCCCGTCTGTCCCATTAACAGAAGATTGGTCGATATACACAAAGAAAAAGACGGTCGAACACCTGCAGCAAATTCTCATGTCTGTTTGCTATTTATTTTTTATTGTTTTATCAGATATAGTTTAAAATGTGTTGATGTTGGTTAAATATATTTTTAAATTGGTTTATAAAATTCTGCATCTCTCAATAGCAAATATTATTTTCGTTTTTAAATTGTAAAAAAAAAAAAAAAAATTTTTTTTGCATTACAGCCGGTGCCGTTCAAGCCTTATTTAAAGCGGCGAAATTTTTTATATACTCTATATCTCGAAGAGGAAATCGAGCAAAAAATATCAAGTGTGTTATATTTTTTGGAAAAGGTAATTTTAAATTCTTTTCAATACAATTAAAAATATACAGGGTTGTTCCCATATAAAATCAAATTTTCTTGTTGATAATTCTTAAATTATTAATTTTAAAAAACTTAAATACTTAAACGCCATTAAAATTCTACGTGAAAAGGTGCTTTTTGGAAAATGTTTCATAAAAATACAAAAATTTTCCATAGCAAAAAAGTTACAGCGATTTGTTAATAATGCATATTTTTGAAAAAACACCCCGTAACTCCGAAACGGTAACAGATATCGATATGCGGTTTTCACCTTCATGTTTTTGACAAAAATTTAGTTCCAGACACCGATATTAGTTTTTGTCTATCTCCTATAGAAAAGGGTGTTTCCATTTAAAAGCGTCGAATTTGACCCACCCTGTACAACACAAATTTGATTCGACCGTTTGAACGACAGATCGCACTGTTGTCCAAAAATTTAAACTACTACTTTAATGTATACCATACAATAAATCATTTCCCAGTTGATTTTGTCTTGTTCGCCACGGTTTTGTGTCTGTTAAAAAGGACAATAGCTGCAGACGAAGATGAAGAACCATCCCAAAAAAAGAAAAAAGTAGTTCCAAAGTAGCATCTGCTTGTATTTATTTTATACCGGGTGCGTCTCTGAAGTGGCTCACCCCTATAACTTTTTTATTTCTTCAGATAAAAAAAAACATATTTGGTATATGTTAGGTTGTAGTGTCACTTCCTGTTTCACCGGAAATGGCTACAACTTTTGATTTTTAAATGGCACCCTCGGTATTTTTTTACTTTATTCGATCGAAAATGACGCTCTGAATCGAATGACATGCCATATGTCAACTTTTGACATTTTCGCTTTAAAAAATAGTATTTTAAATTTCAATCTAGAGTACCATGGTTGTGTTAAAAACGCTAATTTTTAATCAAGGAGCCTTGGAAAAATAGATTTGATCGTCTAATGTTTTTCGTGTCTTGTCCTGGCCGGTTAAAATATTCTCAAAAATCCTATTTTTAATCATATCTATTATGTTATTCTATTCAGAAAGTGTAATCTTCTATTGAATAAAGTAAAAAATTCCGAGTTGGTTTGGTTGATTTAAAAATCAAAAGTTGTAGTCATTTCCGGTGAAATAGGAAGTGACTGAAAACAATTGAATACGTCAATCAGTCCGAATTTATGTTGTATACTAACATACCTAATCTCGTTTTTTTATTTGAAAAAAATAAAAAAGTTATAAGGGTGAGCTACTTTTGAGACGCACCCGGTATATCATTTTTACAATAGATTGTCATAATTTGCACTTCTTTTATGTTTATTTAAGTATTCGTTAATTTTTACATCTCACAATTATGTACTTAATTTGCCACGAAAAATGTTTAGATTGGGTTTTAACAACAAGCGCTTGCACACACACTATCAAACATATCGTATCTACAACTGCGTTGTACTAGATTTTCTGCATGCTGTACTTCCGTACGATACGACCGCATCTAACTGTAAGTTGTACTACAATGCCACTAACTATCCATCCACCACTGATCCAACGGTTGAAACGATTTGGTGTTGTACAACTTGTACTTTAAATCGTATAATGTATGGCCCGTATAAAACTTTTTGTGTAGACGATAAAACGGTCGATAACAGCTCTGAAATAATTGATGAAGTAGCTTAATTCAGGTTTTTCTGATTACCGATTCTAAACAAATACGTTTAAAAGACTTTTAAACGTATTTGGTTTTAAACCATCCTAGAACTGCGGTACGCATGCGCTGCAGATTTCTAGGACGGACCAGAATAGTTTGTTTATTCTGTATATTTTAATTTTAAATAAAATGTCGTGAGTAGAACTTTACGTTTCTCTATACTTAAAGAAATCTAACCTGTTGAGAGCGTAAATTTCAAATAACCGATTTTAAAAACACTGAGTTTAGTATCAATTGGTAGTGTATACCGGTCAGGTCATCGTAAAAGCGTTGTCTGAATTATGTATAGGGGCGTTGAGACTCTCAGATAATTTGCGCAAATCGGCTTGTGCAAGCCAAACTGTAGTATTAATAGATCGTAAAGCATAAACAGAAGTCGTTAGTTTGTACCAAAGACATTATAAAGATACACCAAACATCTCATTCATAAATACTCGTTGGTAGTGTATCAAACATTCCAATGTGTCAAACAAGGACAGAAGAGACAGAGAAGTCTAAAATTTCCGACCCCGGCAACTAGGCGCATTTGGATTGTTCTAATGGCCAGTGGCGTATCGTTTTTTGGAACGAATTTAATTAGTAAAGTAAAAGTAAAGTAATTAGTAAAATTTTTACTCCATATTAATATACTACATTAACACTTTTTCGTTAGATGTGTTTTGTTATAAGGTCTAATATAATAATATAATTAATATCCCACATATACTTATGTTGAAACGTTAGTAGGTAGTTTTCGAAAATCGCTCCAACGTCGATATTCAATTTAAACTTTCAGTTACTTCTATATAAACACTCAGTTACTTTTGAATACTTACAGGGTGACTCAGGCTTCCGAAACAGTTCTATATTAGGTTTGTGGTTAGTAACTTTTCTTTCAATTTTTTTTTAGAATATGGAGGCAATGGTAAAGCACGTTTTAGACATTTTTGTAATCATAGGTGGCCGGAACATATTTTCAAACTAAAGTTGTAGATTTGCCATTCATAGGGTTGCCACCTGTCCTTTTTTGAAAAGGACAGTCCTTTTTTGTAATAACTTGTCCTTTTAACTTTTTTTGACTTAAAAAAGTCATTTTTATTTACGTATTTTCCCTCAGAGAAGAAGATAACTTAGAACTTCCCGTTTAATCTCTGAGAAAATTACCTACAGCAAACAGAAATATTCTTTTCGTCCAAATTTAATTAGAGATGTTATAAAACTTATAAATAAATTTTTCTTGTTTAGAATAGGCAACATTATTTAGAATTTCCCATTTAATTTCAAATGATAGTTTAGGTTTTAGTTTTACCTTATTTGATCTTAAAAAGAACTTTTCAAAATTAGTAATTAGTAACGATTTAGTTAGTCCGCAATCGATAGCTTCCTATGAAGTACTGTGTAATAGTTGTTTAATCTTGTATTATTAATAGCTTCTATAGCTAAAATCAATATTTATTTTAATCCTTTTAGTCTCTCAATAGAGGGCATTTATCATTAAAAGTATCAAATCTGTGTGCTACAGTATGGGATTTCTGTCGCATAATAATGAATATTACGTTTATTTACAAATCCATTACTTAGGTAGCTTAATCTGACAATCAAATTTTAGTTAAACGTCCCAATCTTCATGAACTGTATTAAGCATATGTATCGCGGTTTGAATCACCCTGTATGTTGACAAAAATATTTTGAAAATGTGCGTTACAATGGCCCCGATCTTATGAAAAGATTGAAATAAAAATCACAAACCAAAAACGTAATAGGTAAAAGGCTTTTTTGGAGGCCTGGGTCACTCTGTATATAGGTATGTATAAAACTAGTAGCCTAAGAATTATTTATAGTTCGTCCCATTCTAAAAAAAGGTAAACACACCGTACAAATAACTCTAGGAAGAGGTATTTGTATTGT